TCCTTCTCCGGAAGCTTGCTTGATATGGGAGAAGTTTACCATCACTTGCCTGCTTCCCACTTGCCAGATTTATCCAGGAGAAAAGATGCCGCTACAATCTTTGGAGTATGTTTTGAATATACCAAATCTAGTGTACTCGTGTACTCATCTAGACTAGCTGCTAAAGAGGTTTAAACAATACTGAAGGTGTCACTTCCTGCAGTCAGGATTAACATGGAGCTGTTCGTCCATTTGTACGAAATTTATATTATTCGTTAATGTCAATTTTTTTATTCATCGTCATTGTTCCTTCATTACAGGTCTGATTTCTTACGAGTTCAGCGAGACCCGCAACGCTGCCAACCCTTATTGTGCGACGGTCAAATTAATGACTGTTGGTCGTAGCCGGGGTGATGCTGTGGGCATCTCTCAGGAAGACTCTTTATGTACGATCGGCACCGGCGTCGGCAATAGCAAGAAGAACGCGAAGCTGGAAGCGGCCAAGCAGGCGCTACACGTTCTCATACCCGGCATAGAGTTCAATGACGACGGCGTCGCTGACGTGACTCCTCACGATGATGTCATTCAACTGTTCGACCTCATTCAGATTACGGATAGCAGGGTTCACGAGCTTTCGGCAAAGGCAGGACAGCCGACGCCGTTCGTGATTTTACAGGTTAGTTAAGCTTGATTGCTGCTATCTTGGAGTATTTGGAAACTGCTCTATTACATTGCAGTTGCCAATCTGAAGGACATGAGACCAATTGGAAGAAAGCTCATAAACCGTAACGAAATGTCACCTGCCTGTTAATGCGTGTCACTTAGAAAACGTTTGAAACCTATGCTGTAAAAGACGAAGTTTCTGTGCACAACTGATTATTTACCTTTGTAAAGTTATAGTAGTACTTATTAAGGTAAATTATGTGTATATGAGATGAAATCTAAGCGAGATAATAAAGCACTGAGTTCAAATCAGGTTTTTTGAAATGAATATTTTAATTAGTGTTTAAATAATTGAACGGATTGAAGAATGCGAGACCATTTTCCAATTCATATCAAGATCCGAAACAATCTTCCTTCATTTATGGTAAACCATCTCAAGTTAAGGTTGGTGTGGTTGCCCTCACCCTTGTTTGAATGACGAACCCTATTCTTATCGGATTCGTAGCTTCGTTGAAAAATTCTTTACTTTTTCCAAATATATCTACCTTGATATCTAATAGGACATTTTCTAAATCGTTATCAACCCAAAGCTCACTCATTCACATTCAAACCCGGTCAGGAACCAAGCTTCACGTAACTTATCACCAAGGTGGTTTTCCACCAGACCCATGATTCTCGCGGGTCTTGATCCCGATCAAGCCGTGGTCATGCATTCGTCTATCCATTTCAAAACAATTCTTTTTCACCGCAAA